ATTCGGTGACATTTTTCATTTCTGTATTGTCTATGGTGCGACCGCCATAAGCCAACTTACAATCAAATATGTCGTGCTTGGCCTTCAGATATCCGGAACGGAACAGTTGTCGAACACCATACGATACAACTAATGTTGTAATGAAAGTCATGGACATAGAAAATGTACGAAATGGAAAGTTTTTTTCGCCTGGGTAATAAATGTATGGGTCCAAGTTGAAGGCTTGTTCTCCTCCACCTAGTCTCAAAATGAAGCCAATAATGAATCCACACAACGAGCCGTACGTGTTCGGGTCCAGATACATAACAGCAATTAGCTGAAATTAATTATCAAGAATCAAATAGAAAATTGAGATAATTAAATGCAAATTGTTTGGAAAACTAGTTAACTAGTGATTCGAGCACCTCCCTAGAAGTGTCTATATTTTCTGTTCAAAAGAATATGTTTGGTCAATTTGCGATAGTCAAATCTCATTTCTTTAAAACAATAAGAAGAATGAACTGTTTGTAAAAAACAAAGTCAAATATTTAATAAGCATCTTAATATCAGACATTGTTATCTTCTTCTTTGTATACAGAGTTCCGTTACAATCACTTTTTGCAACAAGAGAGCGATGATCAAATATATCGACACTAAAATCAAAACGAAGTAGTACGGGTATTCAATCTGTCACAGTAAACTACTGTTACCACGGTCTTCACGACTTCGACTGATAACCAAAAAGCAACGAAACGTGAAAATGTCACAAGGTGCGCAATCTGTAATTTTGATAGCGCCTTCGCACACAAAAACGAATCCCACAGAGCACACAGAAATTTTTGATATAAATATGGTAATAGACTTCTAGCAAAAAATACAATCTATATAACCACTAAAAATTTCAAAGCAATTGGTCCAGTAAAAAAAGACAAAGCGATTTTTTTAAAACGAGAAGAAGAAAAGAAATACTGACAACAACAAAATCAACAACAACAGCATCATAATAACAAAACGACCAATAGGTCCACTTTGTGTTTAATAATATAATTAAAATTAATTTTCTGACGTCGAAAATATCCACAAAAACCCACTACCCGCTGGATGCTTTGGAGACCACGCGGAACATCGCGGAGTATTTCATTAATGCGAAAAAACGTATAAAACTCCTTTAAAATCAATATTTCTTGCCAAATCTTTGTATATTATTCAGTAACTACAATACAAAACACATCTGTATCATTTGGTGAAACTACTTACGCTTCTTGTCTAGCAGTTGTACAGAGTCTTGTTAGGAGTCAAAAGGGTATAAAACGTCGCATAAAATGTGGTTTGATTTTGAGATACTTACCTGTGGAAATAGAATGACGTAAATGAAATCTGAGCAGAGAACGAATAGATCGTAGACGGATTTGATTGTCAATGCGAGTATTGTCGATATAGCGGCATTCACGAATATGGTAACTCGCATTACCCATATCAACTCTGTCTCCGATGCCTGGAAAAAATAATCATTATAAAAAAAACTTACAATAAATAATTAGGTTAACTTATTTATTTGAATGTGGATTCAACTTTCCAGCTATTTGACCTTACGTTTTGTCTGAAAACATGATTGTAAATGTTTCTTGTGAACATTGACGACGAAGACAGGACACTGGAATCAGCAGATGGCATCACTGCAGCAGACACTGCTCCCAATACAATGAATGAAACTGCTGTTGGTGTTAAATATTGAAGAACTATGGGCAATATCATTCGCTCTTCATCTATATCCGCTGGTGTTGTTCCATTTCTATCAAAATATTTCGTCATAGTCCAATCTAAAGTTTTTAAACTCCACAGTATAGTTCATTGAACCAGTTGTTTGACTGGTATTTAACAAATGTGACGTCATAGAGCAGGGGTCGGCAACGCCAACCTACGGCCAGCGGGCCGGATCCGGCCTGCGGAGCACTATAATCCGGCCCGCGACGTTTCACTAAATTATAGTAACAAAACATCCGTTTTGACGAATATATTCTTTAGACTAAATTATATTATAACCTAACAATTATATAATTCACAATTACTCGTTTAATGAGCATATAATTTAATTATAATTAAGCAAATGGCAACAAAACGCAGAAAAGTTGATGCTAAGTGCAAAGGGTTCAATGAGGGAATAAATCTATATTCTATTCGAGAGATGTGTCACTGATTGATGTTTATTATAAAAAGTATTATCCGTTCGGTTTTTCCACCTTCCAAAAATATGTGCGGCCCGCCAATGACTTGCAACCTTAATTTTGGCCCGCGAGTGACAAAAGGTTGCCAACCCTTGTCATAGAAGATGGTTACAGATCTGAGTTATCGAAAAGTTCATATTAAAGTTTAAAAGTTCTTATTTTACTTGTTATTGTGATCTGTGATTACGATACTGTTCGAAAACCAGATTTGGTTTTAATTCATTGTGGACAAGGATGATTTTGCGGATCATATTTCTGCAACATACTTATTCACATAAGCGTGTGTATCATATTTATTGAAGAACGGGGTACTATTGGTGCCACATAACCTTCAAAAAATTAAAAAAAAAATGACGATGAAATTCTTTAATTAACTTGAGTTTTGGCCATGTAATGTTTTTCTTGTCATAGGTATGATTTATTAATCGTTGTGATGCATTACGTAAAAAATTACCCCTTTTCTACTCATTAGTTGAAACTCCTATTGCACCGATAAGTACAGATGGAATGGCCATAACAAGACATCCGAACGCAGCAACGAAAGACAATATTTGAGCATGTTTTGCTGAATCTGACGATAATACACGTTGGTAATATACTTGCCACGGCATTCCTCCGAACATCTGGAAGAGATTTATTATACTTGTTCATATATACATATTATGTCGAATGAAAACCATTGACGATTGGTTTGCAAAAATTTTTGAACTTATTCGTTAAAGGCTGCTCACAAACAAATGCAATCACATCAAAAGCATAGAAGAAGGATAATTATTTTTCTCCGCAGAAACCCAATAGATAGAAAAATTTATAATTGGACTTTTTGAATTGGGCTCCGAGGCTAAACAAATAATTTTTGTTAAGTTGGTATGAATGGAACAACGGATTAGACAGTGGTTTCCAAACTTTTCCGAGTTGGGACCCACTATTTATTACCACAGCTTATGGCGACCCATTTAACTTTTTATGACATAACACATAACACAGCAATGGCTAATCATCGCAAAACTACCGTGTTTCCTCGAAAATAATACCTGGCCTAAAAATAAGACCTAATTTGAATTTTAAAAATGATTTTAAATAAACCCCACCCTTAAAATAAATTTAAAATGTGTGGGAGAGGAAAGGTTCGATGACCTGAGGTAAGGTGAAGATCATACCGCTATTCAAGATTGTGTGCTTTCACAATCACAATTATGATATTTGTCACTTGAATTTTGTATAGGAAATACGAAAAAAACAATAGATGTCGGTTTTTATATAATGTTTATTAAAAAATCTCGTGATTTTCTACAATGTAATTTATGTAATGTAATAATAATGTAATAAATGAACATAAAAGACCTCTAAAAAAAACCATAGTATTATTCTACAAAAGAAAATAAATCTAAATCCTGTCTAAATTTTGGGGAAACACGGTAAGAAGTGCTGTACAGTGCTGTACAAAACTGCTATGCGTTTAATGGCCACATGGTCATTCTTCGTGTAGCAAATTTTTGTTGCTTCGAGAAGATCGTAAAAAGGAAACTTTCACAGATTAGAATTTAAATTCAACTTAATTTATTTTATTTTTTGAATCTTTACGTATTCGAGTCGCCACCGATCCTAATAATCCGTATAATTAATCAAAGCTTTCCATATCTTTTCTTGAGCCACTAAGATTTCTTTTGCGACCCACCAGTGGCTCGCGACGCATAGTTTGGGAACCACTGGATTAAAATATTAGTCAGCAAGTGAATTAAATTTATTCATTATCAATCTTACCAACAAAAGCGCAAAATCAATCCATTCTCCCGTATAGTCAGAATCCCATTCTCCGAGCCATCCACCGGGGCCACTGTATGCTGTTTCAGAAATGCTTGTTACAGCATCATTGGTCATTGCGAATGGAATACTTATCCACTTGAAAATAAATACGAATCTTGTTAATAGACTACGTATGGTTTGCGTAGATCATTGTCCATTTATTCATATTTGTAATTTAGTACAGTGTACCTATTTCATGTATGTGAATTTGGCGGAATTTCGTTCACCATGGTCTAAAAGTAGTCTACTGATCAATGCTGTTAGATCAATGCTGAGCCACCAGACAGTTAAAATAGTTTTAGCTCATATCGCCGTAGTCAAGGAAGCCTATAAACTTTTAGCATTCATTAGCAGCGTTTTTTCGTTGTTGTCATGAAAACGAAACTTCAATCCCAAGTTTCTATAAAACGCACAGTACTAGGGTGACAGGATAACCCGCATGTGAAATTTCATCTAGATTGGTCTTGCCGTTAAGACGCCAGAGCTGGACACACGGACAGACCCGGTAATAAGGGTCTCCTATAGCGGAGATCCAATAATCACACAATTCAGGGGCTGATTTTTTCACTTCAACCTACACATGACTAACTTGTCGTGTTTTACGAGTCATAGAACATTGCTTCTTAAATGAAATTGTGCTATCGAACAAGATGTTACTTCCATGTTAGATGCATTCCTTCAAAGAAAATCGTTTCAGTGGTTACAGGAAAATTAATAAATGTTATCAATTTAAAACTTTGATTAATGGTGATCGCTGTCGTGAGTTTGTATGATTGAGAATTTGTATTTTTATAGATTTTTCCGACTCTGGTTTATGTGGCTCCGTTCTATTACGAGTGCGGGACTGCCTGTGTTAGACAAGTGAATATACCCTCTGGTTTTACCCATAGGTTTCAACTTGATAGAAAGTAGGCGAACAAAATTAGTTACCTGTTATCTCCATATTGGTACACACACTTCAGGAGCGCCAAATACTGTATTCAAACTTACCAATCCCAAAAATATGCAAATTAGTTGTATGACATCAGTATATGCGACCGAGTATAAACCACCAACCAATGTATACAAAACTGCAATGGCGGCAGAAACACATACAGAGACGTTAACATCCAATTTGATAATGACTGCTAGAGTTGTGCCTGAAACCACAAACTTTGTTACATTTCATTAGTACGAAACTATGGAGGAGGGAAACCAAGTCATATTATATAGAGGCCAGTCACTTTGAGAACAGAATAGAATGAAATATCAAGACATTAATTTCTTACCTAACGCGGATAAAATCGATGCTGACCATAGCAGTTCACCCATCAATGCAGGCAAAAATAGAAGACCACCCATTCGTCGACCAAGTTTTTTCTGCAATGGGTCAATCATCGTGACATATCCCTGTCGACAAGAATAGAATCACGATTAAAGTGTACTTGACATTTTGTATGTCATCGTTGTATCAACATCAGTAATTTTAGAAATAATCGTTTACTTGTTCTCTCATCCTTTTTGCAAAAAACAGTCCTGAAAGTACAAGCGCAATTGTATATCCAACAGGTGCTTGTGTCCACAATAATCCGTACGAAGATGTATAAACTGATTCAGCGGTACCATTTATGTATCTACCTCCGACCCAAGTGGCTAAAAAGACAAAAAGATTAATAATAATTACGCAATATCATAATACTACATTATTAACACATTTAAATGTTTTGAATGTACTGAATAAAACACACCTGTTTCTATTTATTCAAGAAGTAATTATGTGATGCTGTATATTTCTATATTATAATATCTACCTGGATCGGTTCACAAATAAATCATTGAGTTGTGATATAAAGTATAAATAAATTATATTCATGTAAAAATGAGAGATGCCGGAATTGCTTACTGATAAGCAAAATTTACGATCTAGTCAAAAAGAAGCCATGACCAATCAACCGGTTTTTAATCCAGATCATGAACGGGAATTGGAAATACTTGGAAGTTGGAATAATCAATGTTGGTATGAGTTTTATTTCAAAAATAAGGAACGTTCGCCAGTAACCCAGATGGGCACGCTGAACGGCAAAACAGTATTCATGCAATTAATGCAAATTTAGTTAATAATCATCAAATATGAATTAAATTCGTCATACACGTGTACGGAACCAGGCGGAGAGCACTAGAGCACTACGAAAATGTTCTGAGACAACGGGGAGCAATGCTTGTTTCACATACGTTACATTACATTTTTGTTACATACTTAGCTAATTGCGGCTACCTTCTTAGTGTCTAAGATTTGTTTTGTTGACACATTATTTTATTGAGCACATGGATACGTCGATTTTATGTGCATGTCACTAGTGCACAAGCAAATTCATTCAATTAAGCCAATATAAATATATGAATTAATTAATCTCGTTTCTGTGACAGATTGCAGGATAACTTTTACTAAAATAATATTCCACAAAATGAAATTTCTAATGTGTACCTGTCATGGTGAAACTTCCTATAAATGCACCAATATCCCTTCCAGCAACCATTATTGTTTCTGTTTTTTGTCCTGCTCCCTTCTTTCTTTTACTCCACGCTGCCCAAATTCCGATTCCAAGAATCAAAAGATAGAACACAATAACCGATATCAATCCTGGAACATTAATTGCCATACTTTCGCAAATTGTTGATTGTATTTTTACAACTGTCAAAATAAAAATGAGTTAATTTAGAGGAAAATATCGAGCTGGATTGATACTGCTATAGCAAACTTCTGTGAGAGGGGCTTTATACCCAAAGCTTAGCATATTGAACTCGCTGTGACTAAATGCCGTGGCGTCAAGGATTTATGCTCGTGATTTATGTTCTGTAACGGTCATTTTAAAAATAAAAACAAGCTTAGCAATCAATATTTTTATTGATAGATTTATAACAATTATCAACCAGGACTAGTTCAGATGTTTCCAATTGTCTAACTTGCTCATAGTTAAATACTGAATCGCCACTGTTATTTAAATTGAAAAATCAAACGGCCACCGTAGCCATGTCGTCTATTTTAAGCGAGATTACCAGCATTCTATGAGTATTTCCCAGTTTTCACCATTTGAAAACCTTTAGCCACTATAATAGAGCGTTTTTAGTTGTGTAATATAAAGGCAGATGGAAGCCGTTCAGTCTTTGAACGGATCTCTATCAAACTCTTTTTCTTTGATTTACTGATCCTCATTCCCAAACCACAAAGAGAAAGAATTCAGACTTCACCATTACACAGCTGAACTTGTTCGTCGCAAATCTATTGTATATATTGCACTGTTCCTATTCTGTCCTCTTTCAATAAAAATATGCCTAAAATGACGTGGTCACACACTAAATTTGTTTCTAAGTTGATAAACTAGCAAGCTTGATACGAAATCAAATCGTGATTATCCGGTCAAAAAACATGTTTTTCGGGCTACGATTCGGATGAAGTACAATTTCTATTAGTCATAAAATGAATAGCTATGATAAACTCGTTTTCTCTCAGTTCAAAGAACTTGAGTTGAGTTACAACTGATAGTATTATTTTTATGACAAAATTACCGAATTACAATTAACTTGATATCAACGTGCCAACAAAATAACAGTCTATTTCAGCGATAAATAAATTTTCACGTAAATAAAGCTACGGGCATTTCTGAACAGATTGGTTTCACAATTGAAATTGAACAGAGTCTTTACTTTGATGTTTTGAATTTGCGTGACTCAATAATATCGTGAATGTGTATTTTTAAACTTCTTTCATCTTAATTCCTGTGATACTGAAATTTCAATATTGTGTTCACGAAATAGGCGTAACAAATAACCGGTATCCACAGTTGTTTACTGTACAAATTTGGCATCGTATTTTTTTCTGCTTTTCAAACGAACAACAAAATAGACGGCAATAGCAAGAGCAATGTTATGATCTTATCCAGATGTTTATCTGTTAATGTAACGCATTTAAAATAATCATGCTGGAAATTGAATCTTGTCATTCACCGTTGCACACCGCGTAAATCAGTTCCTCAACTAACATAAGAAAGCGTTATGTCTTTAATGAAACTACTTATTTTTAGGCCAACTGTTCATTTCTGTGGGTACAAAATAATTTAATAAAAAACAAACACTTTAAATAAATTTTTTCTCGAAAACAAATATAAGATTAGGAGGTAATCTAGTCCAATTAGGTATTGTTGTATTGAAGTAGCTTGAAAGTTGAACAACGTGAAAAGCGAACGATTGATTGATAATTCAAGAGCGATGCTATATTGTAATCAGGGTGAAGGGCGTTTCAAGTTTATATACAACTTAGAGAGTTAATATACCCATATAACATTTTAATACGAATATTTTTTCAAGGCTTATAAAATTTGCAGTACCGACTAATGCCAAATTGACGTTTTTTTCTGCGTTCCTTACATGGCCCAAAAAGTACCAACCATACATCTGCAGCAGCTAACGCACAGCATCTGAGTGCTTTTGTCTGTTTCTTTAGAATAAATTTCTGAGTTCATTGGAACATCGTTTCCATTCTACAATATAGCAAAGAAAAGCATTATACTTTTGATGCGATCAGTCGAAAGGATCTCGAGCTAAAATGACCCTGTATCTAAATGTCTTACATTTGTGCAAGACAAATTGATCTGAATAATGGTGTCCGAAAACAAGTCTGGGATTTGTCGTTCGTATGACCATGTATCAGACATTCATTCATTATTTGAACTTTTTTTTGACAACTAGAGCCCCTGTCATCGATGATAGATTATATGTGAATGATCTTCATTAGCGAAAGTAATTCGAGAGATACCAATTAACGTCTTGCTATAATTTGAGCAGCATATTATGACATGATTTCATCTTACATCTCATATTCAAAATCGTGGCTTTATCTGCAAATCTCCAGCAATGAAACACAACGCCAATGACGGGATAGGATTTACATATTTATCCCGGAGGAGAGGAAAGCCGATAAGGCGGCTTAATCATATGGCGAACCACGGCCTCTCGTCCGGTTACCAGTCCAGGTCGGGTATGGGATTAGTTAGCCAGTTATTTGTTTTTTCGGAAGCATGGACTTGATGGTGGAGGAAGCCGTAACCGACCAGCGGTTACGTGAACCACCCTACGGCGGTGAGGAGTCCAGCAATTCTCTCGCACATGATCATCCCCGCATGGGATTCAAACCTGCGAACCCACGAAGGGTAATCAGAGATGCGGTGGCGAGCGTATTCCTAACGCTTAGCACGATGCACCACACCGCCGAGTCTTAGTATTTCATTCTTGTGACTTTGGCGCTTTCTTTCAAATATATAGTTGAACCTAGTTGAGTTATATCGCATTCTTCTTTCACTGAACGAATGCTTCAATAAAGAATTCGTTTAAATTTTCAGCTACTATCCAAATATTCGTTTTGCATTGTGTCGGGGGGTGCTGTCTTATTTTGAATTGGGTAAACAAAAGTTTTCAGCTGATGGAATTTACAAAATTATGGCGTCCAAATTTCATCAAAAATTCATCGGCATACCCTTTGAAGTAGAACTTCGTAAATAAATCGTCAAATTACAACTCATGTAGAAAATGTTATCTTTGACCTAACCAACTATTTAAATATCAGGTGACTTTAGATAGGCGACCTGAAAAATAAATGACACATATGGCAGTTATTTCATAATAGTTTTGTTAGGTTTTTTGGTCTCGTTAAAAGATAAAAATAAGCCATTTTTAAATTTTTTCTATACTTTTATAAGCGTTTCATAAGCGTCCGATATATCCAGATCTTGACTCATTACGCTGCGCCTCAAAAGTAGGCACAAATTAGACTACCAATATATAATGACAGTGATAAACGATTTCAAAACTGTCGGAGCAAATCAGATTACCGTTGTTATATTGGACAATATAGTCTGCTAACAAAAAATACCTCCATGAAATATAGCCCTACTCACAAGAACTAATTTGTCATCGAACCTTGTATTGTAACCTTCACTCTAAAAAATATTGACTCAACGAGCCTCCTACTCTTTCAAAGAGTCAAGAAATATTTGACTCTTTACTTGAGTCACGCACATGACTCTTCTTTGAGTCAAATTTATCCCTTGATTGAGTCGTCAAAAGAGTCACGCACAATGACTCTTTTTCGAGTCAAATTTCCGCTTCAATAGAGTCGTCAAGAGTCATGTGCGATGACTCTTTTTTGAGTCAAATTTATCCCTTGATAGAGTCGTCAAAATCATTTGCGATGGCTCTTTTTTGAGTCAAGTTTACAACTCGATAGAGTCACCAAAAAGTGAGTTATTGGTTTCCTCTCCAATTCCCCCAGCCCCATTTCAACTTTCTTAAGTTACCCATGCATTTACCAAAAAAGCAGAAATTAAATATACCAAATTTTTCTTGGAAAAGAACTTCAAAAACACTCAAGCGTGAGCGCATCTGCATTTTCGGTGATCGCTAATTGTGTTGCTATATAAGGGTATAAACAGCAACACAATAAACAATCACCGAAGATGCAGACTAAACCACAATCACCAATGAACAAAAGAAAATGAAATAAATTTCACAGAAAGAAATCATAATGAAAATTATGACCCCAGTGTTTGCTCACATCGACGACTCAAAACTGCAGTGGCCTATGTCAAATTTTGGCGATATGAGACAATCGCTTTAGAAAGTTCCGAAAAAAAATCTCATTTTGAGATGAACATCGGGCTATAAAATCTGCATTTTTGAACGCTAAAAGAGACAATGCATAATTCGTGTATACATATCGATTTTTATAAAGTGTATAAACTAACAAGTCGTACTCTGACATGATGGTTTAACATAGGGCCAAATCAGTATAAAAACAAAATAAACAAAGTGGACACACAAAAATTACAAAGGGTGGCATCAGCACATTTTCATTTTGAGCCGTCTATGTAGGATCATTTTTTTTTTTTTACACAAAGTCCAATGCAGCCAACAATGAGGCCACTGAAGGTTTGGGATCCATGCCGAAAAGAATAGCTTCAAAAAAATTGAAGAAAGTTGCCAGTTTTTCATAGTACTCAATTCCAAAAATCCAAAACGAAGCGAACAGTCTATAAAAAGCCAGCAATGATGAATTTCCAACTGGCACCACTTTCTTGTCAAGAATTAAGAAGAATTCCTCAGGATGAGATTTCGGACCAATGACCAATAAAAATGGCTGTCTCAATGATTGAGGCTTGGTTTCAGCATAATATCCAACGTTGCAGCCGGCCTGAATAAAAAAGAATGAATAAGTTTCCAAACGATGTCATCACTTTGAAAATTCATTCAGAAACATGTCACGTTGCATATGCTATGGTATTTTGCAAACAAGTTAGGAAACAGAGTACGCACCCCTTGAAACTTAAATAATGCCCACTGCTCTTGTCCTTTCCTCCCCTTTGTGTTGAGAGGTGGCAAAATCTTTGATAGAACTAGAAGACTCTTTAGTCCATCTAAAATGTGTCAAGTACTCTAAATATGCTCTCACACAAAAAACATAGGTATAATAAAGCTATTTCACTGCCGCCCAGTTGGAAATGTGGCAGAGATAGTTCTAAGTCAACCAGTATTTATACATAAAATATCAGTAATATAAAGCATAAAGCACATACCATCATCACACTGAACACAATCCTGATCCATTTTAAGAATTTTTTGAATGAGTGGTGGAAAAATTTCCATAAACTTCTTACACTCCGGGTAATTCATCTCAAATTCACAGTCAATCTGAGTCCACAAGAAGCACATGTAAAAAAAAAATATGCTTTCTATATCCGTACTTCTTAAAAATATCTTGATGTGATGAATACAAGGGGCTCCTGAAGAATGCGAACCAAGATGGCGGACATCGGAATGTAATATGTGTACTAGGTTAGAGTTAGGCCATAATTTTAGGTACAAATACTACGGAAGGACTTGGAAGAACTCATAATAGGACTAAGATAACGAAAATTGGAATGAAATTATGGCCCAACCCTAACCTGTTACCCATGCTACGTTCCGATGTCCGCCATCTTGGTTCGCATACTTCAGGAGCACCGAATACAATAATAAACAGCCTATGTACATTGCACTTTACATCTAGATTTATTGCTAACTTACCAATCCACCCTCATAAGCATCACAGAACCTTGGGTACTTTTCTAAAATGTCAGTTAAGGTCATAGGCTTCAGCTGTATTTCAAGCCTACGATAGTCATGACTTTCCTTCATTATGTTATATATTCCTGCCTTATTGTCCTTGTTAGGTGTGGTTTCTTTCAGCCATTTAATCTGAAAAGCAATATGCATATAAAATATTCCAATAAAATACTAGCTGCGGAGAAATAAAAATTACCACCTATAAAAAATAAGAAATTTCCCACCTTTTTCAGTATAGGGCTATCGTCTTCCAGAAGTGAGGCATCCAGTTCAACAGTACTCCCACTGGTGTCAGCATCTTCGCTACTCTCAAAACTGGAACTACTTGCATATGTTGAGTGGCTTCTCTTTTGTTTTTTATACATCTTATCTTCTATTGCCATTTGTTTTCGTAAAGTTTTGAGCTTGTTTTCTATAAAGCCGGAACCACGAAGAGGATCATAATAATGGCCCTAAAAACATTTTTAGCAATTTAACAATAACAACAAAAGAGCCCTAATGACAAAGCTGACAGAGAGCAGACTCGCAGTAAACACAGAATCATATTTAACACCCATTTTTGGCAACTTCAGAAGAGAGGAATACAGCCTTAATGACGAAATATTGTGTACAAGATTCATGAGATTAAATAATGCCTTGTAGGGAAAGCGAAATTATCTCAAAAGGATAACACGTACATATCCGGTTGTTCCCTCTAACTTTAACTTCAGCTTTGGAAATTCCTCGACAGTTGATTTTGCGAGATCAACTTTCAATGCAGATGGCGGGTAGCTAATAAACAATAAAAAATGTATTATATCAAACGAGTAAACTGCAATTGTCAAAAGCCCGGATCAATTAGACCCAGAGCATAACACTACAAAAATAGTACCGGTAAGTTCCCCATGGCAGGCAGGGTGCCACAATAATGGGACATCAAGGACTGACCATAATTTTTTTATGAAGGTGATATGTTTCTTCGCTTTTCGCTTCAAACCAGGCTCTATACCAGTAGCCACTATATATTGTGAGAATGAGGTTGGTCGGCATAAGCTTACTCAATTATTTACACTCAGTCGGGATGACCTGCATAGGACTCAATCTCAACATCTCCCGCTTACGAGACAAACATGAATTACTTTTTTTGTATCCTCTCTTAACAGCTTCAGAAACTAATATTTCCACACAAATGTTCGTAAATATTTTCTGATCTCTTCGTCTAAGATACCCATTCTCATTCAAATGTCCAATAACATCACAACCCCCTGAAAACTGGAGAATCTTTCCATGAAGATTGGCAAACTGTAGATAAAGAACACGAATATGATATACCTAACGGAAAGTAGATACACCAGTACAATAAACCATTTACTTACAGGTGGCTCCTCTGGGCACAACATGACACTTGGGCCATTTGCTTCGTTTTTGCATTGCATTATGAGTCGTTGCATTTCCTTCACGGCACGAATTGTTGAGAATCCAAGAGTCCTTAAATCGCTATCATTCATGGCCATGCTGCATGATAACCTCCGGCCGAAACAACAGCCGTCGACAACGCGAGAGGAGAAATGACGATTTCCCCGCCAATTCTACGCTTCGCCGGTTCCAACTTTAAAAAATATACAGAGAAATTAGCGGCGAGAGAAAGAAGGCGGTCGTCAAACGAGAGAATATTTGACTCAAAAACGAGTGAGAGTGCGAGAGAAATGACGATCGAGTCACGATTGAGTCATTTTGTTCCTAACTCTTTCGAATTAGTCACGCGATTGACTCAAGTTTTTTTAGAGTGTTGAGTACGAAGTAGAGCTATGGGTTGTTTGCTGAATTCAGGTTGTTGTTGGTATTGTAATTGTTGTTGGGAAGTCAGTAACTAATTGACCAATCCATTACAAACTTTCAGTCCTTAGAGATGGAATATGCCTCTAAAAGGCTTCTACTGATATTATATTTTTCAAGTTTTCACGGACCCAATATTTCCCCAAATATTTTGGCGTTTCATTGTATATAATTAAAAAAATACTCTTTTCATTGTGTAATGTTTTACTTAATTGCCTCCGTTTTACCTGTCCGTCAAACTTTTCTGCAAACTCCGTGCTCGTACCGGTACCGTGCGATCGTGCACGTATATTTGATTATTGCTATGTTATATTATGTTATGCACAAATAAAAAAGAGCGAGTTAATGAATAAATCAATCAATGACGCATGTATAAAATATTCTCTGCAGGAAATTTTATTTTCTTAGTATATTTTAGAATTACTTTAACAATTTTTATACGGTGTTTTTTCCTTTATACACTCCGAATAACGCTGTGATATGTGTTATGGACTAAAGTTGTCCTTCCTAAAATAGTATAGACTTGGCAAAGCTGGGTTATTGGTTGGTTTCTTGCCTTGTTATATGGCCATATATTGTTATCTATGCTTATCATATTTGTTATATTGGGACAAAAAACAGGTCACTTAATTTTAAGTTTCAACGTAAATCAGTTTTGCAACTTTCGCAATCACTTCGATTTGATATTTTGCTGTTGATTTGGCGAGAGGAATGTTTAGCGAATCTATTTTTATTCAATATTTTAGGCACTCTCGAATCAGGTATCCGGAACGTTCACCTGCATGGCTGACTAACCTTCTCTGGAAAGAACAAGCTACTTTTATTTTAACCCAATGGTATTGTTAATTCGTGTTTCCCGATGATCTTGTGTATGCTTTTTTAGGCCGCGAGCCGAGGCCATTTATCTTTCAGTTTCGTAGCGCACATCAGGTAACTACCCTGAAATGATTTTAAAATGTTCCTTAGAAATTGAGTAACAAATATTGCCTTGTTCCCACTTCCAAAAGTTGCACGTTTTACAGAAAAGACGCTTTTACTACAATAAATATGTGTTACCATCTGTCCTATTTTCTCTGCTTTTCCGGTATTATGGGCCAATGAACGCAGACTTCTGCACGACGTAACAGTCAAGTTAGTCAGCTGTAGGTGGATCCCCAGTGGTCGGATGAATATCAGATGTACTCAACTGCTCGCTTTTGCGTTGAGTAGGAGGCGCAGTTCTTACCACTTCATGGCAGCTCCTGCCACGAACGTACCACACCGTCTCCTGCCATGGTTTTATGGTGCTATTACCGGTATATTTACAAATTCATGTACCATATTTTAGTTTATCATGCGAAATTATATCTACTTAAACCCTAACCCTAACCCCAAATCCATCCAAACTGTATCCATAAGAAAAACATTCCAACTCACCAAATATTTATCACCATCAGCAAATTAGGGGCAGCCCTGCTATTACAGCCGACCTGCCGTGGTTACGGCAGTAAAATTGGTGGTATTCGATTTGCTGCCGTAACCACGGCAGCTCGCTATTGGTTTGTGGCAGCTAAAAAGTCAGTCGCCGTGGGTTTGGTCTTAGTGGCCATGGTTTGGAAATCCCGCCATGGTTTTGCGGCAGCTGTAGACGCCACAAAATACTTGAAACTGCACTTGTTGAGTAGCCTTTCCATAGTTTTTTTCAGTTACCGGTAATATTAGTCCAGTTATTCTAAGGAGGTGTTGAAAAGTATTGGTAAGATATTAAACACTTGTATATCCTTGCCATAAATAGCAATTTTAGTTGAGCACTAGCTCATAAGACGTTGTTAAATAGGTACGGTGCGGTAACTCCAAGGAAGGGTAGACCTAGAATAATATGTCACAAACAACGATATTTTCTGGCTTGCATGAAAATGTTTATGATTAATTAATGACTCTTCTTGACTATTCAGGCAGACTTATACTACTATATAGGCCACAGCATATTTGGAAATAGAAATGAATGGCTGTTTCTGTAATGCACGGTTGTGTGAAAGAGAAGAAATTAATCAATTTTAACCTAAATGTCGGTTGGTCTAAATCTAAATTCATAGAGTCGACAAGAACCTGGGAAGCAATGATAAGTTATGCCGGAGTGGAAAGAAAGGTAGCATTGGAAATGATTGAGAGGTGAGAAATGAAGTTGTAGACAAACAGTTGATGTTTCAAAATATAGTCTATAGTCCATACTCATACTGTCATAGGACATTTCAGACTGTGATATATCAAAATTTAGTGTAGATATAGTCTAGTAATGGTATGCAAACCACGCTGGACTGTAGAACATGCAATGAGCATATATACGCTCATTTAGTACATCAGATAAAATGCATTATGTATTCAAGGTATTAGTTAGTATTTAGGGGTATTTTTAAAATCATGCTGCTCCAAATATTATTTTCTTCCTTATTTTAGATACTGTACTACAAAAGAAAACGGCAATGTTCCACCAATCCGACCTAACGCAGGCCTCTGATCCCTGCTGCTATCAGTGCTATAAAATGGATTAAACAAGAAGTCTTGAAGCTTAAAGGTATATGAGAATCATAATAGTTGCAAACAGCTTAGATGGGCTATTCATATTGAAATACTTTAGCACTTTTCTGCAATTGGAACTGCCCATCAAATTCATGTTGGAGACTTCATTGAGATTTTCAATTCATTTTTTCCCTCGACTATGAAGATCTTTCGAGGTTAACGAGGTATTAATAAATAAAGCTGAGGAATTTGAAGAGGATATGAAGAATGTAAATGATACCAGGGCACGTCTATTTAACACTGTCAAACATAAGGATTATACTCTTCACCCAACAATGATTCACTGAAGAAGCATGTGGCCCTCAAATCAGTTCTTGAGTTGGCAAACTGCAAAGAAAAATAGTCAAAATAATTTATGAAAGTGTGCCAAAATCAACTTAAATTGCACAGATTTTTGTTTTTGTATTGACTGCAGAAATCACAGTACACCTATAGAGGAAAAGTCGATTTTTGAGATAGTGGATTTCGAAAACAATTCAGAAGAAAGTGAATTAGATATTACAGTTGATTTAATAAGTATCATACATTTGTTTTTTTTTTCGGACATTTGTTAGTGTCGTAGTCCTGTTTCTAGAAATATTATTGCCTTTGTTCAAATACATAACACATAAACTAAAAAAAGATTAATTGGTAAATTGTTAATATTTTCTGTTCACTATGTTATGTACATATTGTACATTCATTTAATTTTTCTTGACTTTTGCGCGGTAAATTTTCTAGTGAGAAAATAACTGATTTATTTGTGTTTTCGTGCTCACGATGTTAATTTGTGACTTCATTGCTTAAAAATAAATACGTTTGATACTTGATAGCTTCTATAAAATGGATGTAGCTTTTTATGCTGTTTTGTTTGTAAACTGCTTGTGGTTATTACATAAAATTTATTCTCAAATGTGAATCCAGCGTTGTTGGTGTCGCTGCTTTCGAGGTCACTCCCGACTCCTGTCACACAATTAAGTATTTTTTGTTGTTGGTTACATGTATGCCATTTTTCGTAATCTACCTAATAAATTATGATTGACTGAGGAAGTTCCGATTTTGGTCAGGCAAAACATTACAGGAATACATTTGTGTTAGTGTGCTGTAGGGCTCTCGAATTGTATAGTTCTATGTATGCGTTGTAAACTTATGGTTATTGAAATTCCGGGAACCTCTTATACTTCAATTTCGCACCAGGATTGTGGAACAAGCTGTATGCGTTTATTATGTTCGTTTTCAACACAAAACTGAAGAATTTATTTAGTTACCAGATGTGCGCTACGAAACTCATTTTCTGGGCGTTTTCATGGTTTCGTCTCAACGGCCCATATCCGTGGTAAGGATATCTACATAGTGTTTTAATAAATTCTACTTAATACATTTTCAACAACGTCTTAGCATAACCTTAACTAATAATATACTAAACAGGGCTATGAAGCCTGGCCACACCATCAGGCGCAAGGTCGAGCAGGAATAACTAATATTCATCCGCTCGCTAACAGCTGGTTTAATTCAATTGTTACGTCATGCAGAAGTCATTGTTCAGTGCCGAAAATGTAGAGAATATAGGACAGATCGTAGCACATATTTCTTGTAGTAAAAGCGTCTTTTCCGTAAAACGTGCAACTTTTGGAAGTGGGAACAAGGCAATATTTGTTACTAAATTTTTATGGAACATTTTAAAATCATTTTCAGGTAGTTACCTGATGTGCGCTACGAAACTCACTTTCTAGGCGTTTTTCAGGGCCTCGGCTCGCGGCCTATTTGTATGTCTTATGTTTTGTCATTACTTCACGAAAATATAAACTAACATTCAAACATAACACGGGTGCAAGTTTCGCTCAGCCAATTCCTTGTCATAGAATTATCATTTAGTAATTATCAGACCGTAAATTAATATGTGTTCTTGTTTTGTTTATGTTGCTATGCCGAGCCAAAGCTGTGACGCGGCTGAAAGTATTATCGACCGTTTGTCGACCGCTTGCCCTGTAGTCTGCTTTTCCTTTCCGGCTCTTTGATTGTTTTAACATTCCTCGGTTCATTCTGAAAGCAGGAAATACCGTTGCAGAGTCATGGGGTGTTTATTCTCAAAGAAGAGCAATTCGCAGCCTGAAACGGAGGCACCAAAAAAAGAGTACAGTTGGGACAAGCGTACACAAATTAAAGTTGAGGACTTCGCGTTAGACGGGCTACAAGACAAAACTGTGGTTAGACTTCCAGGAAGCATTGATGGTCAACAATTTATAATTCAAAACTGCACAAATTGCAAAATATTTTTGTTGGATTATACTGCTACAGTCACAATTGACAAATGCATTGATTGTCAGATTGTGTTGGGGCCGATTAAAGGATCGCTATTTTTTAGGAACTGTAAAAATTGCAAGTAAGTATGATTTTCTTCATTGCATTTCTGAATTACATTCATTCTTAGACTCATAACCCAGATATTTGAATGATACTTCAACAAAAGATGAAATGTGGAGGTGATATCTTAAAAATCCAATTATATTTTGATACTCTAGTTGACAAGGCATAACTATTTTTGTATATGTCACTCCTAATCCCCAACTGACTATGCCATCCAAAATTGTCTCAATAACATAATAGAGCTTGCCAAAATATAAGTTAACTATGATCGCCTGAAATGACATCTGTGCAGACCAGATGATAACGAACTCACAAACCCCATTGATCTTATCGTATCTCATATCGGTATCGTTATGACGAGAAAACAAGAGGGTATAACTAGCTTGCGTGATTATGGGTTATCGTCAGTGCTTTTGGATTACCGTACGTTTATTTGGCGGGCCTTATACCTTATTACGTCAAGGCTGTGACATCATATTGGCATAATTTTTGGATGACATTGTCAGATGGGGGTTAGGAATAACATACGTAGAAATTATTTAGCTACGTATACCAGAAGTACTTGTGTTACTATACTATACCAGACCTGGTTCTTGTATAGCCTACTAAGACAGTAATATACTATACCAGACCTGGTTCTTGTATAGTCTACTAAGACAGTAATATACCGGTAGTAAGTAATCTTCTACCATAAATTGCTCACAATTGAATTACTGATTTAAAAAGAGGAAACAGTGGTACTCCCGTACAGTGTGTACCAGGTTAGGGTTCGGCCATAGTTTTATTCTGATTTTAGATCTATTACGAGTTCAGGAACTGTCTGTGTTAGTCAAGTGAATATACCCCATGTAAATTAGGTGAACAGAATTAGATACCTCCATATTGGTACACACACTTCTGTAGCGCCGAAACGGTTGTGTATAGATTAGTGTTGGGGGCCATTGGCTATGGGTTGACTGAAACTTGATAAGACTGAAATATGAGTGGCATTTAACAGTGAGGAGATAGAACATGGTCATACCAACAAGATTTCAATGAATAGGATATTGTTTCAGTTTACAAAATAAAAACACATCTGAAAAAAATCAAACAAAACATGACATTCAGATAAATGAAAATTGTGAATTTTGAGAGCAACAATCAGCGATGGTCTAAATTGCATATTGGTATGGTATATTCTGATACATGATTCATCTAATGTTATTCATATTTCTAACAGGTGCTTATGTGCTTGTCAACAGTTTCGTACAAGAGATTGCTCCAGGATGGATATATTTTTATTTTGCATGACACAACCTATTATCGAAGCATCCAACAGGATGAAGTTTGGGTGTTATCAACTATCCCACGCAGGATTGGAAAAACAATTTGCAGATGCTGGATTAGAAATCATGAACAATACTTGGAACAGTATATATGATTTCACTCCAAACCCAGAAGAAGGAGCCAATTGGAGTCTCATACCGGAAGAGACAAATATTGATCAGCTGTTGACTTTCACCACAGAGAGAATGGAAAATGAAGATGGCAATGATAGCCTGAACAAGAGTTGTTTACCTGAAGATATGACACTTTCTTCCAATTCAGAATGTAGTATTGTTCCAATGACATCAGGTGAACGTGGTAGTACATCTGCAGAATCATGTCTGGCTTTATTTTTTCACCATGACCGAGCAATTCAGACTTCAATGAGTGTTATTCGTCAGCTTCAGCAAAGTCAAATCACACTTGTCAGATCTAAACAGATTCCTATTCCTCAAGAAACTGCTTCAGATATGTTTGACAAATCAACACAATCAAAACTTCTAAAAGCCACGAATCAAGGCAATGTAATTGGGCTTGAATTCAATGGCCCGGATTGTTTAGAAAAGTGTCATGAAGCTACCAACTCCCTTGCTGAAGGGCTTCTTACATTTGTAACAGACTCAAATCATCATATTGAACGTTTTTTCACTTGCCTGGATATGCAAATGTAATTGACCTTAATATGCTTTGGCATTAAATCTTATTGTTCAATATCATCTGTTGCAAAATTCTTTAAATATACCTAATTGAGTGTCTGTCTTAAAGTTAAATGCAAAATCTGTCATAAAATTGATTTGTATATTTAAGATGGAATGCGAAATTTCATGACAATGTGGGGGACGCATTTAATTCTTGTACCTAGAACTGTTGAAATTATGTTTTTGTCGTGTATATTGTGCATGAAATGGTTTTGCCAACATCTCATAGGCTATACTAATTTAACTGCAGTGATTTATGGGTTTATTACACAAATTTCTTTTGTAATCATTGTTTTATGATTTGTTTAGACACATTTAGAAATGATTAAGACTTGCCAGCTTTTAGTTCATAATTATTATTCTTGTGTCGGATCAATTTATTTATGACACAAACATATGTGTCGATAGGATTAAATAGTGGCCTCATTTGCATATTTAGGTAATGCTCTTTAGCAGGTGATCAGTATTAATCAATAATTTTTGAAAATAGGTTTGCTGGCTGTTATGTTCATGATGTAGCAATAGTAAACTAAAGTATTAATGTTTCAGTCAATTGTCAAACTGTGCAAAGTGTATCAATTATAATATGGGTTAATATTAATCATGCTTATTAATAGCATCATGGCACTTGTTTTAAGATATGTTACAGCTCAAATTTCAAGATATGTCACATTTTACCCTGTTTTTGTATAATGCAATATTATTGATAATTTGACATCCTCATACAAGCACTGTTGCTGAGAGATCTATCTTATCAATGTAACGAAACCTGTTGAATGACAGATGTGCTGCAAAAACAGAGCTTTCAGTTTTGATCTGCACTGCTACCATTCATATAATCTTGATATTTTAATTTTATACTGCACTGTTATTGTATTGTACTAAACAATTGTTTTGATACTGAACATATAAAACAACTAATTGTATGAAGTTGTGATTTTATTTATAGCCCCAATTGAATATGGACCTGCATTCCCTTTTTTGTAAATATACATTGAGCCAAATCTTGGATCTTGATCCAAGACCTTCTAAAATATTACCCGATTCAATGGGGCTGCCAACAATCCCCCGCATCAGTTGCCAAAATTAAAACTACATACGTGTGATATCATCAGTGGTCATGCCTTTATTATAACTGAACTAGTTCTTGAAACAAAATGGTACCGGTACTCATGTAGTGTGTGTACCAGGTTAGGGTTGGGCCATAATTTCATTCTGATTTTTCCTATTTTCCAGTCCCTTTATACAACTTGATGTAAAGTAGGCAACAAAATTAGTTACCTCCATATTGCCATTGGTACACACACTACTTAAGCGCCAAAAAATAGTGTCTGTACCAATGTTATTAGGCTTTTTGCTGCTCCAGCATTTCAAATCAGATGATCTAATTGCCATGAACAGGACCATGATTCAACCGAATTCGACAGAAGCGTCCAAGTTTTCAGACCAGATTAACTTAATTGTCAGACCCTGAACTTCATTGTGTTGGCACGAGCGCCAACGTCAAGAGGGTCAAAAATCACATGACAACAAAAGCCCAAATAACTTGGCGCGGCGGTGTGGCTCAACGGGCTAAGCGTTAGGAATACGCTCGCCACCGCACCTCTAACTACTCTGCGTGGGTTCGCAGGTTCGAATCCCATGCAGGGATGGTTATGTGCGAGAGGATTGCTGGACTCCTCGCCGTCGTTGGGTGGTTCACGTAACTGCTGGTCGGTTACGGCTTCCTCCACCACCAAGTCCATGCTTTCGAAAACAAACAATACAGTAAAACTAATCCCATACCCGACTTGGAATGGTAACCGGACGAGAGGCCGTGGTTCGCCATATGGATAAGCCGTCTTATCGGCTTTCCTCTCCCCCGGGATAAATATGTAAATCCTATCCTATCCTAACTTTTGAATGCTGATGTATTGACATACCGTAAATGCTCGTTTTAACGCCCGATCTTGATTAATGTATTTTCAGCCTAAACGTTAACATAAGAAAAGGTAAAATTTTAATCAAATGTTTACTACATCACTATCGAACAATGCAAAACTTATTTACTGTATGTTAAGAACACACAACAATTATAGACTTCTTGGCTTGCCTAACGTCTGCAAAATAAACTACCAATACTTTTTAACAACCACCAGGTTCAAAAATGGAGAAGTGTAAATGAATTCATGTACATTTTTAGCAAAAAAAAAGCAGTTTATTTTTTAAAAGGTATCATCCATGTGGACGTTTCCCTGACCCTTGACCACTGAAAAATAAAGTAGCTAATGACGTTTGCGATTGCATTTTATTGGACACGTTTAGTGGCCATAACGATCGTTTCAAAATTTTGTTGTTATTGGACACGTAGTGGACATAACGATCGTTTCAATATTATGTTGTTGTTCTTGTTCTTTGACACGTTTTTAAAAAGTCGCTTTTCTCTTCGAATACTGGACCAATTGCTTTGAAATTTTCAGTGGTTAAAGATTAATTTTTTCGCTAGAAGGCTACCGGTATTACTTTTATTTATTTCAAAATTTTGCGTGAATTCTATGAAATTTGATATTTCGTCTAAAATTTTGCTGTATTATTTTTTATCCATGGGGAACACGGATTTTAGTCAGTGTCATGACTGGCTGTACGTTTTGATTCTGCAAAATTCTTGCTACTGGAAATTCAGAACTTTTTTGAGGGTACCGGTAGCGTTATAGGTACCGGTAAGGACTGATTCGCTCTGGTCTGACGTGTCCATATATTTGTGCGTAGCTCTCTTGTTGTTATTGTTATTTGTCTCCGTCTCCATTTTAAAAAAATCGCTTTTCTCTTCGAATACTGTCCCAATTGCTTTGATATTTTCAGTGGTTAAAAGATAAAATTTTTCTCCAGAAGGCTATTACTTTTGTTGTTGCTATGACGTCATCAAAATTATTGCCACTGGGTGGCGCTACGTGTCCATATATATTCGAGCATAGCTCTCTTGTTTAAATATCCGATTGTTTTCGTCAGCGTGGCGTCTTGTTTAAGTGTTAGTCTTTATTATTTTATCATCAGCGACGATATTCTAAAGATAGAATAAAGAAGTGAATCCACAACCAAAAATTTATCGATTGAAAAAGCGGCATTATAAAATACTGAAAATAAAACGGAAAACGCCATGAGTTTTGTTTTGGATGGACCGCGGCAGATTAAAAACACTTTCTTAAACATTGCAAACCTCATAAATTCCATGTGCCTGTAGTGTTCTAAAACTACCGACTTGAAATAAATTTTACACCTTGGGATTTTATTGCAAACTTGGGAATTTCTCTAATAGTGATATCTTGAAATCAATAAGTGGCAGCATTGCGATGGAGTGGAGTAAGAGTTGCAGGAACAGCTCATATTGGTCTAATTTGCAAGAATATTGATAAAAAAAAAGTGATCGGGCAGTTTAGTTAATAAACTATCCCTTAATGCTAACAAGACTAAATTTGTATTATTCCATCCAAGCAAGCATAAAAGTGTAAGTTGTACAAAACCACTGCTGCTCAATGGCAATTAAATTGAAAGAGTGAAAGAAATAAAATTTCTAGGAGTTATCTTTGATGAAAATCTGTCTTGGAAACCACAAATATTGCATGTTATTGGTAAAACAAAAAGAAACTTGTCAGTTGCTGCCAAAGTATCCCAGTGTGTTAATCAATCAGCTTTACTAGCAATGTTTCAATCACTACTACTCAGCCATATCCGATATTGTTGCTCAGTCTGGCTCCACGGTAAAAAAAACACTTGTCTCAAAATTGCAAAGTAATTGTGATAATTTTTTAGGAATTTTTTTTAGGAAAGTGAACGTGAAAACCATTTCTATAAAACGCTAAATATACTCAGAGTTGAAGATATAATGAAATTTGAAGTATTAGCATTGGTCTATGATTTCTATAACAATTCCTTGCCAAACTGCTTCGACGACATACTAACTAAAATTACTTCTAATTGTAGAAGTAGTTCCAATTTGCTCATACCTTTTATTAGTAGGCCTACATCTGTGGCCAGCATGCCTTATGTTATACTGGGCCCAAGCTGTGGAATTCTCTCCCCTTGAATTTGAAGACATCGAAATCCAAAAAATCATTTCAGAAAAGAGTCAAGTCCTACTTGCTATTCAAATATTAAAACTTATTATTTCAGAACCGCACTGATATATATTTTTCGTATGTAATTAACTACAACTTCAAAAGAAAGAACATGACATAAGTTGGGACACTCCTCACTTGCACATACTTATTATTTTCATGAGAATGTTGAACAGCCATAATATTGTTGTTGTCTCTGAGATTGCTAATTTATTTTTGAACAAGCAGTTAAGCTCTCTTCATCTGTATTGCATTATAGTTATTTTGTTCTATAGCATACGATTTTCCCTCATATGGCTGTTCACATTCTGACATCTGCATGGGCATGTTTTATTTTTTTTTCAATGTTGGGTTTATGATATTCCACATGCTGTGACATGCATGATCTTTGCTTTCTATTTGGGTGGTGTGATTCTTTGTGAGGGTTGTATACGGCACAGTATAATTTAACCCCTGTACCTATTATTGTAATCAGGTGACCAGTCGAGCTATATTTGGATTCTACCCTACATTTTAACTTGCTGTAGTACTATATGCTGTGTCCTGTGTGTATGCAAAGAAATTACCCAGTGATCAACGACCTCAATTAAATTTGCTTGCCTATAATTCATGACTTTAGAAGCCTTACTTGAACCTTTAATGACCTATATATTTCTGTCAAGATTTATTGTTGCCAGGATTAGACCGAGGTTCTATACACACAATAAACTTGATCCAAATATTCATCAGTCGGACGAACGGCCTTTGAATAAACAGTACACCAGCGGTCGGCAATCTTTTGTCGCTCGCGGGCCAAAATTAAGGTTGCAAGTCATTGGCGGGCCGCACATATTTTTAGAAAGTTGAAAAACCGACGGATGGTACTTTTTATAACAGAAATCAAGCAGTGATACATCTCTCGAATAGAATATAGATTTATTTCTTGATTGCATTTCATAAAATTCCATTTAAATATTTTCAGCGCCATTGAACCCTTTGCACTTAGCATCAACTTTTCTGCGTTTTGTTATTGTCTCTTGAAGCGTTATGATTCTCATCTTCTTTTCTGGACGATATATGTGTTGGTACAAAAACATCTTCTGCATCCGGAGTCTCTCTCAACATCCTTATAGTCATACGTCGATTTCTCCGAACTGTACCTTCCGGAGTCTCAATCAAAACCGATCTTGGAGCAAAGTGTCGGCTTAACACTCTCCCTTCAGTTCTCAAATCTGGTATCCAAACTCTGTCGCCCGGAGACAAGTCATCGCCCTGAACAACTCCACCTGTGTCCACGATTGTAATCATCTGTCATTTTACTCCTATATTCTCTCTCCCTCTGACAAAGTTTAGAGCATTCCGGTACTTTCGGTGTAAATTCGTCTGAATGACATGGAACTCTAGTTATCAGCTTTCTGCCCATACTCAGTTATGAAGGCAAATATCCATTATGCAATGGAGTGTTTCAATATATCGGCAAAACTAGGTATTCATCATCGCACTTGTTTTTAGGATTGCTTTCATCGTCTGGACGGCTCTTTCAGTTTCACCATTTGACTGACTATATTTCGGTGATGACGTTATGTGCTCAAATATGTGCTCCATTTCTTAGCAAATTCTTCAAACAGTCTTGAATCGAACTGTGGACCATTGTCTGAAAATAATACGTCACAAATACCGTGGCGACTAAAAGTCTTCTTCCTTTTCAATGCAGTTTTCGCTGTATCAACATTCTTGGTTACGATGCAAATTTCTACATCGTGAGAATAATATTCAACTGCTAGAATATAGTTGTTTCTATTATAATAGAAAAAATCAGCACCAATTCGTGACCAGGGTCTCGTTAGAAATTCTGTTCCTCCCATTGGTTTGATTCGATCTCGTCTATATTTCTCACAAAGCTTACAGTTTCTCACAACTTTTTTTACGAGACAGTCCTGGCCACCAAACAGAATTATTCGAATGTTCACGCGATATACTCATACCTTGATGTGCATCATGTAAATATCTCAATATGTCTGTTCGGAGTATTTCTGGAATCACGAACCTGTTTCCCTTCATCAAAAGACCACCATGAATGCTGAAGTTCGCTCGCTCGTTCCCATAATTATTCTCAACTTTTATGATGTCGTCTTTTTTCGATTCACGTCTAATTTCATCCAATCTGGAGTTTGAAGCAGGTAAGTTAATCATTTTGGATTGAACATAACAGTCCGTATCAGCTAACAACTGATCATCTTTGTCCAACTTTCGGATAGGTCCTCGGGACAACGCATCAGCAGTGTATAGCATTTTACCCGGAACGTGCACAATTGTAAAATCATATCTACTTGCATAAGCGACAGGTCTAAGCTCTCATGAAGATTACTTTTGAAGCATAACAGCTCCAAGTCCGTATCCGCTTGAGTCAGCAGATACAAAGGTTTCCAACTCTGGTTTCTACATTGCAAGTATTGGATCTGACGTTAGTTTTCCTTTACTTTCTCAAATGCTTTTTCCTGTATTGGGCCCCATTACAAAGCATTATTTTTCTTCATAAGGGCACGTAAAGGTTTTGTATGTTCTGACAAATCAGGAGTAAATTTTATCAACTGATTCGCAAAAATCGCCTGAGCGCTGAAACACCAGTAGGAGTAGGAAAATCGTTTATGGCTTTCACTTTTTGAGGATCTTTACAAATTTCTTTCTTCCCAATTATTTGGCCTAAACATTCAAGTTTCGTAGCATGGAACACGCACTTATCAATGTTTAGCGTCATACTCTCTTCTTGGAGTCGATCCAGAAGTTGTTTAGAATATTTATCATGCTTCACAGCGTCGGTACTCAAAATTATGTCATCCATGTGACAAGTCGTATTGAAAAATCCTTCCAAAATGTGGTTCATTCGTTTTTGGTACAATTCTGGGGCGGATGAAATCCCATAAGGTAGCCCCCGGAACAAGAATATCCCAAATGGTGTAATAAACGTTGTCAGTTTACGACTTTCTGGGTCAAGCTCGATTTGGTAAAATCCGGAATTCGCATCCAACTGAACCTTTCGCCATACTCTCCAAAGTGTGTTCTACAGTGGGCATTGTGTAAATTTCACGTTTTACCGCAGGGGTGGGCAACATACGGCCCGCGGGCCGGGTCCGGCCCGCGGCGAGATTTTGACCGGCCCGCTGACTGTATCCAACCACACTCTGTAATGCGGTCCGATGCATCATTCATGAAAGTTGCCGACCGTTCTACTCTCACCGCATTGTCAGTGCGAGCTGGTGAAATAAACAATTGCCTTGGTGCAGGGGTTCTCAAACTTTTGGTGTTGCGGAGCCCTTGAAAAGGTTGACTATTATTCACGGAGCCCCAAAATAAATGTTAAAATTGTTACTTTCAGATTAATATTCCTGAGCAAGTTGAAAGTACTTAATTCGAATGCTGAACCTTTTTTAATAGGGTTAATACAAGTCATACATAAATCTAAATTTCAAATATAAATTATATATACTAAAGCTGTAAATTTGACACTTGACATACATATTACTAAATTAGGGGTCGAATCTTTTTTCTTTTGACATTTTTGGAAAACTTAAAAGGTCGCTAATAACGTGCGCGGTTGCATTTTGTTACAATCGCCGTTTTTTTCGTCAGCATGGCGTGTTTTTGAACCTTTTAACATCTACACGCCGGTGTTTATTCTGCCTAAATCAAAATTTTCCCTCGGCATGTACATGTATTGTTACACAATGACGGCGTTATTTGCTTTTTTGTTTTCGTGGGGAATTATGAGTTCAATGTGAAAAACATGTTACCATATTATAGTCATCGGTGACGAAATGCTAAAAATAATAATTAATAAAGAGGTAAATCCGCAACTCAAATTTCTTGATTGAAAAGTGGCATTCTAAAATATTAAAACTGAAACTTAAAATGAAAGATCACACGTTTGGTTTTAGCAGACATTATGAATCGCAAAATTTGGTGTTAGGTTTTCATCGTAGTAACTGCGAAATCGAAACACAGTCAATTGTGCGCGCGATGTACTTTTTTCCCCATTATGAAACTAACGACGGAGCCGCACGCAATGAATTGTGCGCGCTCCGCGATGTACCTTTTTTTTCATTCTGAAACTACCGACGGAGCCGAATGCAATAAAATAAATTTCAATTGGTCGTATTTTGCCCAGACATTGTGTTTTTTTTTAAACGGCGATATCTTGCATAAAAATAATCTCAACTGCGAAAGAAGAAATCAAGTTTGACAAATACCAAGATCGCAAAAATACGACTCCAATTTATTTATAGTTGACAGTTTATCACATATTTTATGCTATTTTAGATAGTATTCTTTCATTTTAGTAATCCTAATAGTAATCTCGAATCAAACGTGAGTAACGATGAGCACAATTACATTATGACACACGTTAAATGCTCGCATCGGTCATGGATTAAATATTTTACGCAACAGAAATCTCGTTAACGTTTTTTTAATCGCGAAGATGTCGCGCGGAAATTTCCGATTCCAATTTTGAACCACCTCCCTCTTAAGAATCCTGACTGCGCTCCTGCTTATAAATAATACAAAATAACTTACAAATAGCTGCAGATTGATTGATTGCCAAATGTGTTGCACGGGAGGGTAATTACTAAATTTTCTGACATATAGGCAGCATTTTTGTAATACTGTTTAGGCTGGTTGCAAAAAACACTCGGCATGAATTATATTGTTAGGCCATAACATTAATATTTAGTTATCAGGCATAGCTAATCCGCATTCCATTTTTAGTTTTCTAGGATGCCAAAATTGTTAGCATATATTCCCGACCAAAAAGATAGAAAGCCAGAGAACAATTTCTAGCACATCATTCAACTTCGCTAGTTGCCTCAGCTGGTCATAACACTAGTCAATTCAGTGACATTTGCATTTTTGATGTAACAATATGTTAAAAGATTTTTCTGGTTAATTTTATGACGAAACAACACCAACTGCGAATTTTGATTACTCTTCGAAGGCGACGCGGGCCACAGACACATGTGGCCTGCAGGCCTGGGTTTGGACCACCCTGGTATAGGTCATGTGATGTACATAGTACAAAAATAATACATGTTAAATAGACATTTTACCTTTTGATTTAGAATGTCGTATTGTGATTTTCAAATGAATAAAAAGATTATGGGATTTGTTTTAAAACCATCTTTACTTTGAATGAATATATTCTCGATACGATTTCACCATTCGGGGCTCCCGAAGTATGCGAACCAAGATGGCGGACATCGGAATGTAATATGTGTACCAGGTTCGGGTTAGGCCATAATTTTAGGTATAAATACTACGGGAGGCTCTTGGCTAGTCTTCGAACTGATAATAGGACTAAAATAAGGAAAATTGGAAAAAATTATCCTAACCCTAACCTGTTACCCATGTTACGTTCTGATGTCCGCCATCTTGCTTCGCATACTTCGGGAGCACTCACCATTCTGATGATAGCACATTGGCACGCCAGAGAATGGGATATTTCGCCAGTATATCTATGTCATATTTATACACGTGAACAAATATCGCGTCATTAGAATGATCTAGAAATCAATTCTATGTCACCGATATGCTGATGTATACTAGCGCAAAACAAGTGTTGCGACCTACTAAAAATTGCGGTGTTTTCACATTGATATGATGTCATATTTGTACATCTCCATTAGATTGCTATATTAGGACATTAGGTGTTATTTATTTATATGTCAAAATTTCGCAAAAAGCGCCGAAACTATTTATATAGCTTGCACACAACTCAGCTTTCACTTACCTACGGAATCAGTGAATAAATGAATTAATTCATTTTTTGATCTCCAGTCAAGTGTGCCAAACAAATATCGTGCGCTCGAGAAGCGTCGATCGACGAAGCGCTCGGCTTTGTATTCGTATCGATGAGCAAATATTTTTTACTGATATAAATTTCCACTTTGCAAACACACCATTCGTTGCTGTGCTATGAGTACAATAGTGTGATAACCGTTTGATTTTATTGTAGTAGAGCCCAATTTTACTTTACTATTGAACACAGAAGATTTCGGTAAGAACAACATGGTGCAGTATAAGTTATATTATTTTGATGCTCGTGGCAATGCTGAAATTATACGGTTGATATTTGCATATTCGGATGTTAAATATGAAGATGTGAGAATACCAAGGGAAGAATGGCCTAAGCATAATCAGGTACATTAATTAATATATATATATATATAAATAAACCAGTAATACTTTCTCGTTTCATCAAGTTTCTATTACTGATTCTAAAAACCGTAATTTTCGATGATTATTATTATATATAGTTGCAGCAACTTTTTGTATTTCAGTGGAAGCCAGTTTTGCTCAGAGATGAATTATCCTTACTTCTAAGTGGGCGGTACCCGCTCTATTAATTATTTTGAGTGAGTATTAGGTCCATGGCGTCATGTGAAATGTGACGTCATCCAAATAAAATTCAGGGGACTACAAAGTAGTATTCCTGATTTTAAAAAGCTGAGCAATTTCTCGTAACTTACGAGTTTAACTGATTACGTTTATGAAGTTTTACAATCTTTTTTAAAAGTTGCACATTGCAAATGTTATACTCGTTTTCAGATATGCCTCTAAGACAGCTTCCAGTCTTGGAAGTCGACGGAGTCAAACTTTGCCAATCTGCAACGCTGAATCGTTATATGGCGAGGGAATTTGGTTTAATGGGAAAAACGAGCAAGGATGCATATTACATCGAAATGTTTTGTGACTCAATGATGGAAATTGTATGGAAATATCCCTTTATGGAGGAAGACGAAAAAAAGAAGGTGATTTAAATTTTCAAATATATTTATCACTAAAGAATAGTGCTTTTATTGTAGTATAGCGGCATTTCAAAATCATGCCAATTATTTGGAGAGAGCATTAATTTCATGGCGTAATGTGAAATATGACAGCATCCAAATAAAATCCAGGTGACTCCAGAGTATTATTCCTGATTTTGAAAAGCTGAAGTAACTTCTCATAACTTACGAACTTAACTAAATACGTTTATAAATTTTCACAATATTACAGGCAGCTCGAGCCGAGGAATTTAAAAAAACGACTCCTGAATCCTTGTCTAGACTTCAGAAAATGATTGAGAAATGTCCTCCTGATGGGGGAGAGTGGATATTTGGAACGGTATGTATGATATAGACATATCTATGTATATCAAAATTAAGTGACAAAATCCAGAGAGACTTCATTACGTGGAATTTATTAAAGGGTAATTTCTAATTCTCAATCCATCAACCATAACGAATCCCATTTTTAGCGGAAATTTTTCATTGAGTGTTCAACACTTCCGACCCGAATAAGTTATTTCTTTTAAGTATTAATTTGCTTTAAAACCGAATTGGCTACATTTGCTAAGTTGTGACGACTTGTATTAGTAGGCCAGTTCTACTCAGCAACTCAGATATTTGCAGCTTTTCTGCAGGTTTGTGTGAAAAGAGGTTCCATCGAACTCACAATGTTGATGATCCATACTAATTTAGAATCCATTCGCACTCAAGCTGACAGAAGTCGGTATTTCTTAAAAATATAATCTAAAAAATGTTACTGTTGCTTGTGCAACATTGGAAAATAGAGTGGTAATATATTTTAATATTCAAATATATTTTGGTAAATTTCTATGTGTATTCACAGTTTACACTCGCCGATCTCTACTTGTTCACATTTGGAGATTTTGTGTTGCCGGTTTGCAACGACATATTTTCTAGTGTTCCTGAGATGCAGAAAATATACGAAAAAGTGAAAAGTCTTCCCAAGATTGCCGCTTGGATTGAAAAAAGACCAGTGACATTTCTTTAATTGAAATATTTTGGGACAGCATGATAATATTAATTGATTATCATAGTGCATTTATATGTTTCTGTATTGAGTTGTACGACTACAAATCACTCCTCCCAAACAAACAAAATAATGTTTCTGTAGTAATGCATTAATTCACAATTTTTGTAGTAAAATATTACGAACTGGCTCCCGATAGACTTTTTCATCTTTCTGTCGGTTTTTGTCCAAATATACAAATTGGATTAAGAAAGAAATTGGAACAGCCCAACGATGTAAATCAGAGGTGTGCAACCTTTATTACAGTAGGACCAAATACAAGTAACTGAGTGAAACCGCGGGCCGCACCTAAACTCTACCTATACGAAAGGCTCTGAATACGAAAATTTATTGCATCGGCTATCGTAGGAGTTTTCTCATATACGGAAGGCCGAAAATCCAAACAACGCGTTTAGTGATATTTGTTTAAGTTAATTCAATGCTGTGCTTGAAGAAGGGATGTCCAATTTGAATTCAATATTTGAATAAAGTCACTTTCGAATATCGTTTTTCGTGTTTATAAGAATATCGAATATGGCGCACATCTGCCATCACATTCGTCCGTTTGTTTAACGAGGGTACGTACAATGTATTGCTAGCGAAATTCAGTTCGAGCACGATGGTACGCGTAGCAGTTAACACAAAGGGAAATGAATTGAAAAGTCATTTAAAAAATTTGAATTACATGTATGTGTGCTCATTTTGTACATTAGGTTCTCGATCAGCTGTCAACTTTTGCCACCTCCCCCGCCCTCTCTCCGCGGTCTTCGCTTAACAGGGGTGGGCAACATACGGCCCGCGGCGAGATTTTGACCGGCCCGCTGACTGTATCCAACCACACTCTGTAATGTGGTCCGACGCATCATTCATGAAAGTTGCCGATCGTTCTACTCTCACCGCATTGTCAGTGCGAGCTGGTGAAATAAACAATTGCCTTAGTGCAGGGGTTCTCAAACTTTTGGTGTTGCGGAGCCCTTGAAAAGGTTGACTATTATTCACGGATCCCCAAAATAAATCTTAAAATTGTTACTTTCAGATTAATATTCCTGAGCAAGTTGAAAGTACTTTACTTAATTTGAATGCTGAACCTTTTTTTGAAAGGGTTGATATACAAGTCATACATAAATCTAAATTTCAAACATAAATTATATATACTAAAGCTGTAAATTTGACACTTGACAAACATATTAATAAATTAGGGGTCGAATCTTTTTTCTTTTGACATTTTTGGAAAACTTGGTCGCTAATAACGTGCGCGGTTGCATTTTGTTACAATCGCCGTTTTTTTCGTCAGCATGGCGTGTTTTTGAACCTTTTAACATCTACACGCCGGTGTTTATTCTGCCTAAATCAAAATTTTCCCTCGGCATGTACATGTATTGTTACACAAACGGCGTTATTTGCTTTTTTGTTTTCGTGGGGAATTATGAGTACAATGTGAAAAACATGTTACCATATTATAGTCATCGGTGACGAAATGCTAAAAATAATAATTAATAAAGAGGTAAATCCGCAACTCAAATTTCTTGATTGAAAAGTGGCATTCTAAAATATTAAAACTGAAACTTAAAATGAAAGATCACACGTTTGGTTTTAGCAGACATTATGAATCGCAAAATTTGGTGTTAGGTTTTCATCGTAGTAACTGCGAAATCGAAACACAGTCAATTGTGCGCGCGATGTACTTTTTTCCCCATTATGAAACTAACGACGGAGCCGCACGCAATGAATTGTGCGCGCTCCGCGATGTACCTTTTTTTCATTCTGAAACTACCGACGGAGCCGAATGCAATAAAATAAATTTCAATTGTTCGTATTTTGCCCAGACATTGTGATTTTTTAAACGGCGATATCTTGCATAAAATAATCTCAACTGCGAAAGAAGAAATCAAGTTTGACAAATCCCAAGATCGCAAAAATACGACTCCAATTTATTTATAGTTGACAGTTTATCACATATTTTATGCTATTTTAGATTAGTATTCTTTCATTTTAGTAATCCTAATAGTAATCTCGAATCAAACGTGAGTAACGATGAGCACAATTACATTATGACGACGAGACACGTTAAATGCTCGCATCGGTCATGGATTAAATATTTTACGCAACAGAAATCTCGTTAACCGTTTTTTTAATCGCGAAGAATGTCGCGCGGAAATTTCCGATTCCAATTTTGAACCACCTCCCTCTTAAGAATCCTGACTGCGCTCCTGCTTATAAATAATGTCATTTTTCAATTTGCCATATTTCGATGCTATATTGTTGTCAGATTTTATCAAAGCTGTTATTGCTTTTTTGAACAGTTACAAAACTAGTCGGTATTTTGAAAAGTAATCCAATAGCTCGGGAGCCCCTGTGTTTGCCTCACGGAGCCCTGGGGCTTCGTACAGAGCACTTTGAGAACAAACTAACTATGCCTTAGTGAACAAACTATTGCGTTATCACTCTTGTTTAAACAAACAATATAAGGTCAGAGCAGAGAGCGTCGTAAACATTCCCCACTACTGTTATCAGTAATATTTGGATCTTAAATATAAAAGATTTTAGAAATTAGATTTTATATTAAGTTTCATTAACCATGGAATTCCCAGAAACGCAAAGTTGACAGAGAGTGTCGAGCATTTAACAAAGATTGGATACCGAAGTTTTTTTTGTAATAATCCGGCCCGCCGAGGGCTTTATTTTTTCACATCTGGCCCGCCGACTAGAGAAGTTGCCCACCCCTGTTTTACCGCTTCATTAAGCTTGGTCAAATTGACGCACATTCTAATTTCACCACTGGGTTTTGATACGACTACAATCGCGCGCACCACTCACTTGCTTCAGTGACGTTTTACTTCACCAAGCGGTTTATTTCAGCCTCTACTTTACCTAGTAGGGGTATCGAAATTCTACGAGGTGTTGTCACACAAAGGCTTCGCTTTATCTTTCAAACGAATTGTATGTTCACCTTCCAATTTACCCAGTCTATTGAATAATTTGGGATATGCTTTCAACACATTCTCCTGAGTGCGGAGTGAAGGTACATTTTCTTGCACTCAACTATTTTTACAGTATATGTACCTTTGACCTCATGTATCAAACCCAATTTCTGTATGGCTGGTATCCCCAATAGGAGTTTCGATGCTTTTCGCACCACATACACTTTTTCGGTGACCTCGATTTTGTCTCGTGTCATCGTCCCACACAGCCAACTACGTCTAGTTTACACCACCAGTTCCGAATTTCACCAAAAGCCGTTTTATACACATTTTCGGGCATTACCGAAACTTGTTCACTAGTATCTATGCACCAACAAATTCTTCATTTCGGTTCCAGATTTTAGTTTGATAAACACAATCATTAAAAATTCTTTTTCATACGCTTTCTGCATTTTCTAGATCTTTATAGTACCCACAAAATCAATTTCGGCTAGCTAGGGTTTTCTATTTCCCCAACAATCGGAACTCTGCTTGACAAACAGAATAAAAATGACCAACCTTGTGCATTTTTGCGAGCAGCTGGGCAGTTATCTTTTCAGGCATAGTGCAGAAAAAATTATTGTAACGTGAAAAATCTTTTTAAACGAACGCGAGACGTCAGAAGCCGTTGTATGGAAACTTTCGTCCTTTTGTGACCTCTCGCACCCTAGGACCATACTCACTGTTCTATGATAATCCAGCATTGTATTGTACAGCAAAATTTATTTTCTCCGAGCTGATACTGGTAACATTCAATTCGCTTTTGGAATATTTTTTATGCTAAGGATAAATTAGCATTGATGTATAATGAGCAATAAAAATAGAAGTGACATGAAGCATACATTACAAATTTACGATAACATGCTAATCTAGCAATATGATTCGAACACATCAATTGCAAATGTACTAAAAAATCTCAAGCATTCGTCAATGAAGCTATGTACTTGCTAATTATTTAAAAACAGGCAGAAAATAAGAAATGGTGCAAGTGCAACAATAAATATTCAAGAAGGCTCCCCCAAAAAAATATACCAATTCAAATATAATGGTCAGAATTTACTGCAAAAATAGTTTATTAATTAGGCTTATTCAATGCATAGTATCGAATCGAAAAGCTGCTTCACTATCTATTTGCCTGGGCAAGACAAAAAACCACAATTAACAAATTGGGCAAAAAATGTTAAACAGCATAGATTGAAAATGGCATACAAGCAGGGAAAATATGGACATTGGATCAAACTCTGCCTAATAACAGAACAATGAAATCTTAAATTTGTTTACTTCATCGCTTATTAATACTATTTTACAAGTGATGATGAATAACGTAAATGAATGTTCAACAATAACAATGATTTTATAATAACGTTTCTAAATACAACAGGTTAGATTTCAAATAATGACAACTCTGAATAATCAACATTCCCAAATGATAGTGCGAGAAAATTGAAATGTGATACATATGTCACTGAGAAAAATTGAAGATCTATTTTAGAGATAAATTTATAACAAATAAAAGTGAGTGCGTTGTTGTATTTTCATCAGCATCAGTTCAGGTAACTTATATCAGACAGTTTCATGATTTCGACAATAACAAGTGAACATCCGTAAAGGAACAGACTATGTAAAAATACTTTATCCATCATGAAAAAGTGTGTATTACTAAAATATGTCCTAATGAAATGAACAATTTTGAACTAAATGTTATAAACTTGTACTTTTAGTAGTAAGTTTACATTTTTTAAAAAATACTTCGGACACCCCTTGCATACTTTTAGTGCGCTGCTTCTACCAAAGCAAAGGATCATTGGAATTATTTTTGAATATTTTCTGAAAATGTTCCTTTAAATCAACAACTTCTCCGGACTTCCAGGAATCTTCAGCAGCTTGTGCGAGGAAAGTTGCTCGAAGTGTGTCATTCGGTGATACACAGCATTTGTCTACTTGACCTGAATAATAAAATGCTCAATTACACAGAGATAAAACAGTGGGAATCTTAAATATAAAATATTCAAAGTTCAGGGTGGCCCAAAAGTAGGTATACAGTTATTTTATTTATTTTTTATTACCTTCCAAGAAGCTAGAAAACTAATGTAAAATTCACACTAGATTTATTATCTAGAAAAATTTTTGCAATTTTTGATGAGTATACTTCACCAAATGCTTCGATTCCAGATATGTAGCAGCACAAGTGGAAGTGTTTGCATAGTCCATAGTTGCATATTTTTCTATATCCGAATATTTTGCAATTTAGGATTCTTTTTATGACGGCAATTTCATTTGTTACAAACCCAACAAGTGTAGAAATTATGGCGCTCCAGAAGTGTGTGTGTACTAATATGGAGGTAACTAATTTTGTTCGCCTGCTTTACATCAAGTTGTGTGAAGGAACTGAAACCTATGGGCAGGGGATATATTCGCTTGGCTAACACAGACAGTCCCCAAACTCGTAATAGAACTACAATAAGGAAAATCGGAATAAAATTACGGCCTAATCCTAATTTGGTACACACACATTTCTCCTTGGGGCTGTAGATTGAAATGAAAAATAGATGATTGATAATATCAATCATATCAAAAACAGTCATTTGCATACTTCACCTGTGAGCAATGCAACAAAATGGGCAATTTCTTCCTGGTATGCTTCTGAATATCTCTGCTTGAATGAATGATGTATGACATCATTAACTGTTCCTCCAACACCGGCAAAATGAACTGCAGATTTGAATGGGTTGTCGCTCATTAGGTTTCCATTTTCACCAAACATCTGTGAATCAATCATAAAACACTATTGTGAAGAGCTACTCTATATCAGGGGTCACCAACCTTTATGGAGCAGCGGGCTACTTTTTTGGTACCGATCGAAGCGGCTGTTCATACACCACAACACTTTCTGTGTCAACTAGAGCCCTAAAGTGTGACATGCTCCAATTGGCTTTGAGGTGGAGGTCATTTAGCAGTGTTACAATTTTAAGCTGAACATTGCTCAACAACACTTGACATGTCCAAGTTCCATTAAAAAAGGTTAGAAATGAACGACACGCATGGCTCCAGCTGATCTATTGTGTGTGATGTCATAATTGGAATGACACATGACATTTCGATCACATATAGAAAAGGTTGACCGTTACAATAATTATTAATCATTATATTGTCTATTCCATTTCTCATATAAGGTTTAAACGAGAATAGCAAGAATAAAATTAATAGATGGAGCTTACTGATAAGCGCCGTTATTTGAGTTATTTCAAAACAGACCTGCGGGCGACTCATATGGTCCCTGGGGCGACTTGGTGCCTGCGGGCAACGGGTTGGTGCCCCCTGCTCTATATTGTTTGTAAGTTCAGTTGATATTTGGCAAAGTCAGTTTCAGAGACATAGTCGAAATATAGTTGCAAGTAAGACAAAATAGGAAGCAAATTTTGATGGAAAGAAATTCAGGAGTTTTATTGTAACCATTGTTAGAAGCTAAGCATTTACGCCTCACTGGCTATACCATCTTTTTAAATTTTTCACTTAACTATCAAACACCATCACCCAACAATTACCAATTGCACAGTTACTCAAAGCTCACGAAGGTTCCACAGAATGGCTTTATGTTTTGATAAAATTCAGAAAATGGTATAACAATCTGGGCTGTGGTGCTGGAGAAAATTTACGATTGATTTATGAACAAATCTTTTAAAAAGCCAACAACAATGAGCTCATTCAACCAAAGTTTATTCCACAAATATCATAAAATGTACTCTGTTATCTCCTATGCTAATAAATTTATTAAAAAACCTTGAATTTCGAAAACCAATGAGTGCAAAATATTATATGTCAGACTTTCCAATTCATCATAAGTCTATATTAACATTTATTTAATTTTGCTGTCACGCATTTATCATTTAATAACAAACCTCACAAGTCTGATGGTAGCCGTATTTGCAGTCTCTTGATAAATCAATATGGGCGATCACTCCGCTTGGAAACTTAAGTACAATAAATATGGTATCAACGTCTCCAAGTGCAGCAATTTCTGGGATATGGGCGTGTGCTGTGAAGAGATAAATAAATTTTTCAGACAGATTCATTGCTAGGAATGACTCATGTAAAGTGTAATCTACATTTCATTTTATAACTACCGTAACTTGCGTAATACAATACATGAGGACTTTGCACTTTTGACTCCAAAAAACAAACACCAAGCCCATGATGTAATGGGCAACTTTGTTTGCATGCAGTGGCCTTATCACAATACATATTTGAGTTCTCATTCGGCTTTATATCAAGTTCATATTGTATCTTTACATTAAAAACTACACACATGAATTTCTCCTCAATTTTGTGTTATACTCATAATCATTAATGCACAAACACAGGATAAGAAAATATAAACCAAATCTCAAACGTCATGACAACCTATCACATTATTTATGACACATGGAAAATTCAGTACAACAAATATGGTATCAATGGTTCCATTACATTTGAACCCATGACAATTGCACCTGTATGCTATTGCACCTATGGAATTTTTTTTTGTTTTTCGGATAGTTGAACCCATACTAACCCTAACCCATGGGTTTTAGCACCCGCATATAGATTGAACCCGTGTATATACGCATGGGTTCAAATGTACGTGGGTTCAAATGTACGGTCACCGGTATCAATATCCCCAAGTGCAGCAATTTCTGGGATATGAGCCGTTGAGCGTGTGCTGTGAAAAGATAAATATGTTTTTCAGACAGATTCAGTGCTAGGGATGACTCATGTAAAATGTAATACATATTTCATTTTATAGTCCAAACATACATAATACAATACATGAGGACTTTGAGCACTTTTGACTCCAAAAAACAAACACCAAGCCTATGATGTAATAGACAACTTTGTTTGCACACAGTGTCCATATCACAATATATATTTGACTTCTACTCATTCTACTGATATCAAGTTCATTAGTTTATATTGTATCTTTGAAACCCACCTCTTCCTAAATTTATACTCATAATCAATAATGCATAAATTAGGATAGGAGAAAATATAAACAAAATCCCAAAAGTCATGACATCCTATTGAGTGATTTATGTATGTTTTTAAAATAATTCTAGCATCAGGAGCTTGTTTATACACACCCAAACACTTATAATGGATAAATGAAGAATGGTGGATAATATACGAATCTGGTTATATTTTGACATGAATGCCAAATCCAAGAAATACATACCAGCAGTATATACAGAAATTGGTTCTTCACCAATCATCCACCTTATCAAATCTAAATCATGCACAGCACAGTCATGGAACATTCCACCTGAATCAAATATAAATGAATATCATTCAATATATTAAAGATGATAACATTTTTGAATTACGTAAAATTCCAAAATATGAAGTATTTTATTAAAGCAACTTTATGCAGTAAATATATCATATCACTATATCAGGATAATAAAATTTCCAACATAAGAAAACATAAACGAGGTTTTACCTGAAATCTTAATGTAAGACATTGGTGGTCTTGGAGAATCTCTTGACATGTTTTTATGCTTTGTACTTGTCCTATAATATCACGTTTCTTGTACATGTCTCGAATTTGAGGATCAAAGCGTCTGTTTATTTCAAAAGTCATATTTATTTTTAGTATTGCAAAATACAATTATTTTATTATAATAAAAATATAAAGATCTTCTTTATATTCTACGAGTCTTCATCTACTAAATGATTCAGTCTTTAGCCAATCAAGCTTGCTGGATCAAGCTATATCAAGTTGAGCCTTTCTAAAATAATTAGATCTGATTTTATATAGAGTAACCAAAAATACAAAAAATTAACTGTTGCGTACATTGATTAATATTATATACTCATAATGATGAGCTGAATACTAAATATATTATGGAAAAGCACCGGTTAAATGCGCAGAGAAGCGGTATGTTCCCCTTGGTTGCTTCTCTGTAGCATTCTAAAGTTGATTCAATTGTCATCGCCAAAGGTTTCTCACATAAAACTCCTTTACCTTTAAAAGAGTCGGAAGTGATTTGTGCCAATGGTCTATTATCAGATAAACATGCATCATTATGATATTTCCTTTTATTCTATATTTATTAAATAAAAGACAACATTTTAAACCACATTCGGAAATATGAGACGTTTCCGCCATCACAGACTGACATCCTATTTGTTTCTATAATGATGATTGATCATCAATGAACTAACAAATATATTACGATTGAAAGTTATAAGCAGATCAGACACAATTTTCACCCATACACCCCTTATGAGGCATGTAATAAACATAGACTTCTACTATTTAAAAAAAAACGCTCAGCAAGTATTTTGTTTTTCGTGAAGTTTAGCTGAAGCACTCCAAAACTAGTCAACTTAATTTTTGACATACCTGCTTTTATTGCTGCCATAGCAATACTGAACATGTGTATCCGTGGGCGTGCATATTATAATTCCATCAACACTGAGTAATATAAATATCAGTTAATATAATATAACCACATACAATAAAACAATTACTTATGGAATATTAGGAATAGATCTGTGAGAAATCATCAATGTCCTATTCTCAATCGAAAAAATAAAGTTTCAATCAGTGACTCCAGGATAAAATGGAATCTTTAGAATGAAACATACTTGGGATCCTCAAATACAAAATGATCATCTTGTGGAAGAATCACTTTTGCTTCATCAAGATGATGAAAATCCTTCAAGTTATTGGCTTTTTCTTGGTCGAGATCCACCAAGTATTTAAGTCGAACTAAAAATATAAAAGATGACATTCTAAATTGATATAAATATTCAAATACACTATACTGAAATAAAATACAATTGTTAAAAATTATTTCATTCAGATAAATTTACCGTTTGGATTCTTCTGTAGATTTTCAAAATGTATCAGTCCCATTCTTCCAAGCCCAAACAGAGCAAGAGACACTCTATTACCAGCAAATGACCCCATACCTGCAGGACCTGATATACTGTTATAGGATTTGAAAAAGATTACTGAATTAAATAAAAAATATAACTTTTAATATGTTTTTGAAATGAATTTACAAATACATAGAAAACAAATCATTGCGCTATGCTGTAATGACGAGGTGTAACCGTAAGGTAGTTTCATATAAATGCCTGACCATTTCCTCTTTCCTGGTGTCAACATGATGTGAGTATGTAAAATATGAATAGCAGCTAACTTGGCCAGCATGGTACCAGAACAGCAAAATGTCAAAGCAGTTTATATCCTTTTTTTTCCGTTGTCTATCATTTATGTGAGCTGTTTATATTTCTTTAATTCTATTTGTTTCAACGACCAGCAACCGATTTCTGATAAGTTTATTTTGACTCCATAAGCAGCATAACAATAAAATGATTGGTAAAAACAAATAATTAAAAATTGATTATGAAAAATTCTGGAGTTGTTACGCGGCGGTGTGGCTCAACGGGCTAAGTGTTAGGAATACGCTCACCACCGCACCTCTAATTACTCTGCCTGGGTTCGCAGGTTCGAATCCCCATGCAGTATGGTTATGTGCGAAGGATTGCTGGATCCTCGCATCGTTGGTGGTTCACGTAACCGCTGGTCGGTTACGGCTTCCTCCCACCTAAGTCCATGCTTCGAAAACAAACATATAGCTAACTAATCCCAATAACCGCCGACCTGGAATGATAACCGGACGAGACTCACGAGAGGCCGTGGTTCGCCATATGGATAAGCCGTCTTATCGGCTTTCCTCTCCCCCGGGATAAATATGTAAATCCTAATCCTATTTTCGACGCCGATGCCGCCAACACGACCTGACGACCATCCCGTCCCGCACGACTGCAATCGATTACCGTATTAAAACAAAGAGCTTTCAAACCCTGTCAGCCTGTTCCAACTGTCTGAACATTAAACAGTTACCGGTAACGTTAGGTACCCGGTATACCGTATCACCTTGAATCAATAAAATTACATTGACGACACAAACACTGGCAGACTGGGAACCAAAGTCGAACCCATTGTTGCATTGCATTGAGAAACGCCCTATCTAACAGCCTTATCTAGTCGGTACCGCAATTGTGTCATGTTAACATCTGAACATCACTTCACAATGACCAATCCGCCCAAAACCGGTAGAAACCGACAGGGCCTCGTAAATACTCCGAGGAAAGACTGAATCATGCCGGATTTTGCTAGGCCGTAGTTCGAGTTTTACTCCACTTAGATTACCACGCTCCAACGCGCAGAAATCAAAACAACTAACACTTTGCATTTCACCCAATCAGCTGTCCAGAATTGAGGGTGTTGTCTTCGAATCTTCTCAAGAAATCTGCGCACATTATCTTTACACCACAAATCACGATTAAATGGTATATCCCATCGATCATCCTTTTACTTTTATTCTGCGCCACACCGCGAAATTGCCCCGTAGTATTTTTACGTCGCCTGTTTTAACTGTTTCGTCAAGTAAATCCCATCCTATCATAACTGCATTTCGAGATTATAAATTTCCCGGAATATATATATATTTCCCGGTCTTGTGTGCTGTAATAATATTTCTACCCTTGATTTCTATACCGGAGTGTAGAATATTATTCAGAATAAACTCGATATTCCAGAGTACTGTGTTTACTTCATGAACCAAAAAACAAGATACATAGTATACACTAGGGGCAGGCCAGAGCAAGATAATAACTGCATGAAAGGTCATGAACCCAGGCACTGAATTGAATCAACATAAAATATTCAATATCACTACCACCTTTTTCCCAAATCAAGCCATAGCTTGGAATACACTTAAATGTTCAAGGAATAACAACCAAAGAAATTATTAAACATTCAATTAATACTGGTATCTTTGAGGAACTTTGACAGTTCTTCCTGATCGTGTTATAGTCGGTTCTTGCTTGATCGGGGTCTTAGCCGGAATTTTCAAACTTCCCTCAGACTGATTGCTGCTGAGTGGCTGATCAGTAATCTCTGCTTTGTTGGTCGAGTTTGAATGTTCTTTAGTATTTGGTGGTTTAGGTGAGGTCCATTTGAATACATTCTTCTCTCTTTGCATCAAAGGTGTTGCTGGTACTTTGTTCTCAACATTGGTTGTGGTGGAAGGTTCCACATATGGTAAGGCTGGCAAGCTTTCACGCAAATGAATTCTGTTGCGTTTCAGTTGATGTCCATTGCTCATTTTGATGTTGTATGAACGATCATTCTTCTTTGAGATTACTTTTGCAGGAATCCACATATCTTTTGCTTTATCAAACATTCTCACATCTTGTCCATTGTGAAAAGGCGGTAAACTTTTTGTGTGTTGATCAGCATATTGCTTTTGTACATTGGTATTATGTTTCACTCTATCTTTGTAGATTTGTGGAACAGTATTGTCTGAATGACAAGGCAATAATGTAGAAATTTCTCTTCCGAGCAAAAGTTCTACTGGGCTTGGTAATATATTGTCAATCGGTGTTGCGCGGACATTTGGAAGTGCTGCATCTATATCTCCTCCGGACTTGATGCACTTTTTGATAATGGGTTTAATTTCGCGTTGTGGCGCAGAATATAAGTAAAAGGATGATCGATGGGATATACCATTTAATCGTGATTTGTGGTGTAAAGATGATGTGCGTAGATTTCTTTAGAAGATTCAAAGACAACACCCTCAATTCTGGACAGCTGATTGGGTGAAATGCAAAGCGTTAGTTGTTTTGATTTCTGCGCGTTGGAGGTCTTATTGCGAGCTCTTTCTCTTGTTGTTATGAAAAAAATCGCTTTTCTCTATAACGACCAGATCAATTGTTTCGAAATTTTTAGCGGTTAAAGTTTTTGTTGTCTCTGGAAGTATCTTACTAATATTCGTTTCTAAATTTCCTACGAATCTTTTAAGATCTGATATTTCATCCAAAATTTCGCTGTTTTATTTTTATTCGTGGGAACATTGTCTTTAATCCGCCAAGCGTGAGACCGTCCTACGTTTTGATTTTTTGAACTCGGTTTATTACAACTGAGTTTATTCACCTGAACTTTTATTCAATTCTTTCATCCGAAGGGTTTTAGTCGTCTCTGTACGAAATGTTTGCATGCCCACTTTTATAGAACCTTAAGCCCTTTTATTAAAGCACTGTTAAATTAGTCACGCTTTATGATTTTCATCGCACATCGTTACTGTGACGTAACACATGACTTATTCCCCCGCGCTTTACCTTCCTTCTAGATTAGAACTTTCCTTGCCACGAGGTAGACGCTTTTTGCGCTTTGCGTATTAGGGAGGATTCTGTGTGACTGTCGATTTTATTGTTTATAGGTTTTCCTATTTTCTGGTTTTATTACCAAATGATTATGGGTGGGAATTTTTCACTCGGAAATTATTAGGCTTATTCATACATTAGTCGAATAGGTTTTGATGTATTGTTATACTGATTATTGTTTTATTGGACACGTTTAGTGGCCATAACGATCGTTTCAAAATTTTGTTGTTATTGGACACGAAGTGGACATAACGATCGTTTCAATATTATGTTGTTGTTGTTCTTGTTCTTTGACACGTTTTTAAAAAGTCGCTTTTCTCTTCGAATACTGGACCAATTGCTTTGAAATTTTCAGTGGTTAAAGATTAATTTTTTCGCTAGAAGGTTATTACTTTTATTTATTTCAAAATTTTGCGTGAATTCTATGAAATTTGATATTTCGTCTAAAAGTTTGCTGTATTATTTTTTATCCATGGGAACACGGATTTTAGTCAGTGTCATGACTGACTGTACGTTTTGATTCTGCAAAATTCTTGCTACTGGAAATTCAGAACATTTTTGAGGGTACCGGTAGCGTCAACGGTACCGGTAAGGACTGATTCGCTCTGGTCTAACGTGTCCATATATTTGTGCGTAGCTCTCCTGTTGGTATTGGACACGTAGTGGACATAACGATCGTTTCAATATTATGTTGTTGTTCTTGTTCTTTGACACGTTTTTAAAAAGTCGCTTTTCTCTTCGAATACTGGACCAATTGCTTTGAAATTTTCAGTGGTTAAAGATTAATTTTTTGCTAGAAGGCTATTACTTTTATTTATTTCAAAATTTTGCGTGAATTCTATGAAATTTGATATTTCGTCTAAAATTTTGCTGTATTATTTTTTATCCATGGGAACACGGATTTTAGTCAGTGTCATGACTGGCTGTACGTTTTGATTCTGCAAAATTCTTGCTACTGGAAATTCAGAACTTTTTTGAGGGTACCGGTAGCGTCAAAGGTACCGGTAAGGACTGATTCGCTCTGGTCTGACGTGTCCATATATTTGTGCGTAGCTCTCTTGTTGTTATTTGTCTCCGTCTCCATTTTTAAACATTCGCTTTTCTCTTCGAATACTGGACCAATTGCTTTGATATTTTCAGTGGTTAAAGATAAAATTTTTCTCCAGAAGGCTATTACTTTTTTTTTGCTATGACGTCATCAAAATTATTGCCACTGGGTGGCGCTACGTGTCCATATATTTGAGCATAGCTCTCTTGTTTTTGTATATTAGCATACTTATGGCTGTTCTTTGGGTCCTGGTCAAAAACAAAAAAAAAAACAGTCATTTTATCACTAACACTAATACTGTAACAGACTGTTATCACTGACATCAACATTAGATGTGTTTAAACAAGGTACTAAAGTTTCCTCCAACACAAGTCTACGAGGTTGTCGGCATACAGGTTGAGTGTTAGTCAGGTAATGCATGGATTGAAGACATTATTTGGGGACCCAGGGGACGAGACGCATCCCCAGTTCGCATGTAACTTGAAGTCGCAGTGGGAGACATTAGGTACCGTACGCGTACTTATCCCATAGTCCCATTACATGGAACGTAAATTAATAGTGTAGTGAGTATTTTCCACATAATTAATTGCTGCGTTAGTTTCTCGTGGTAATTTTATTAGGATAGGTTTACCACTAGTGCCGTTGTGGTCACCAGGCAAACGCGAGCACGACACGAGTTGTAACTGCGTTATCGTTGTCGCGGCGAGTTTTCAACGCGCTGATCCCTATCAACCATTTGTGGTCTTTTATATCGTTTATCGGACGTGTATGTGGTGATATATTACGGTACACCAAGCATTGACACAAAACAATACTGACACTCACAAAAAGTATTTAGCAGATATTACACACTGCGATCAGGTTTGGAAACTTTTTACTCAATACCAATTTCATTGTGCCTTTCTAGTAAAAAGTAGCATGATTACACAATTTACTGAGGAAAGGAAGCCCCAAAACGACTCCAAATGTTTGAATAAATATATATATAGAAGTATATATAGAAGAATAGAAATAAGCATTGACAAAAAACAATACTGACACTCACAAAAAGTATTCAGCAGATATTACACACTGCGATCAGGTTTGGAAACTTTTTACTCAATACCAATTTCATTGTGCCTTTCTAGTAAAAAGTAGCATGATTACACAATTTACTGAGGAAAGGAAGCCCCAAAACGACACCAAATGTT